AAAAAAAAAAAAAAAAAATAAAAAAAATTTTTTGCAACAAAAAAAAAAAAAAAAAAAATTATCCCCAAAACACCACGTCCCCCCCCCCCCCCCCACACACACCCATACAAGAAAAAAAATATAGACAAAGCAGAAAACTACTGTAAACCCCTGAAATAATTATGGGGGATCAATTAGAATGAAAGATAATAATTTTTCAATATATTGTAATTGAGAATAAAGATGACACCTTCAACTAATAACTTAGTCTGCTGCCACGAAAATATACGAGTATACAAGTGAAAAAAAGAAACAAAGAAAATAATAAAGAGAAAGATTACGTATTATTTCGATAGTTCATGTGGAAGTGTACTGGAATTCGGGCGATAAATTTATAATGCACTGAAGCGACGAGTCCATTTTAGATAAGATGAATATATGATAATAAAACTGGCATAGATTAATAACTATTGATGTCGCATTCATATAACTCATTTAATACAACCTTTTAATGGTTCACCGGGTGTTGTTTGTGTGTGATAGCGCACATCGATGATAAAATAGAATAAAGACGAAAAACGCAAATAAATATGAAGCAATTGTTTGAAAAAAACAATAGTAATTAATTATTATTAAGTCGAGAATATTTTACATTTATTTAATATTTGGGCGTACGATCTGGGCAAGTCTCATATTGAAAATTAATATCTAAATAAATAATCAAATAAAATTTAAGTAATGCGGTAGTACTAAATTATTCCTTTTCAGTCATATGACAGAAGTATTTTGTCACAGTAGGAATGCTCTGCTATTTATATACTAGAAATATTTAGTATTACAAAAATTGGTTTTAACCTGTAATAGTTTGGTTTAAATGGTCCGGCTTTGTTAATTCCCAAATATTTGCATTGATCATCATTTAATTCTGTTAAATGTGCATCAAATGCTGGTAAATGTAAACTGGCAACATATTCATCTAAAAATATATATCGTCTGCTATTTTTCAGTGTCTCCTTTGTAACAAAAAAAAAATTATTTACCCATTTTTTTTGGTAACAAGTAAACATCGCATTTATATCTGTTTAGTGGTGCATTATATAATTCAATCAATGCTAATGCCTAGAAAACATAATTAATAATTATTACTAAATATTCCTCAGTCTTTTAATATAAGTTACTTGTGTGGCTGCTGTTATTGAAACAACAAATGATGGTACACTTGAGCAACATAAATTCATAATACGACCCTGAAAATAGACAGAGTTATTGTCACATAGAAAATGGTTGTTTTGCTTATTTTTATAGCAGACCTCAGCAATTAATACGATTCGTTTTCCATTTGGCCATATAACATGATCCACATTTGTCCGTACTCTTTCGACTTGTAAATCAGTTGTTGCTGAATCTCGTAAGAAGCTCTAGTTAACAAATACATTGAAGGATAACATCGAGTCATTGCACAACTTCAATCATTGTGCAGAATATAGAAAAGAACAGCGAAATTAATTTTTACAGTTTGTCTGTAAAGATCAAATTCGTGTGTTCGATTCTAACTTCGTACAAAAATTGATTTTGTGTTTTGATAGTTTAAGTTTCAGAATGATATACTGAGAATTTCTATTCTCGATTTCGTTCTGGTTCAAGTTTAAAGCTTAAACCAACAAATATATACCATATGAACTAGATAAAGTTAGAAACATGTAAAAGTACTTACAACATCAATTTCTGTGTTTGAATGTCCCATATTACACACGATTGCACCATTTTTCAATTTATCCAAATGTTCACGTGTAATAGCATTTTTACTACCGGTCGCAGTAACAACAATATCAACTTGTTTAACGACCTCTTCTAACCGAACAACTTTATAGCCTTCCATACTAAAATTGAAAAAATGTAATATAATAGATGTTTGGGTAACCATTACTAGTTTAAAGAATGATGAGGATTGCTGTGCTTCAAGGAAGGGAAAAAAATCCGTTAGTTAACTTAAATTTCACTTAAATAAGACCAGCACAAATTATTTTAATGTAGTTTAATGGAACGCAAGTGAAGTTACGTGACTATAATTATATTTCAGTTCGATTCATCCCATTTCCTCAAAAAAATTGTCATTCTTACATTCATGTCTATTCACATTAAATACGTTCATAATATATTTAATTACATTTAACACGTAGAAAGAGACTAGTCTTAAGTTGAGTCTAAGTCTAACCTTAGGATAAGAAAATAAATTAACGTACCATGCTTGCAATGCACATATGGGATCAATTTCTGTAACGTAAACAAAACAACCCATTCCTCTCAACGCTGAACAGCATCCTTTTCCTACTTCACCATAACCACAGACAACAACTTGTTTTCCACCAAACATAATATCGGTACAACGTTTGATAGCATCAATTATAGATTCACGACATAAATATAAATTATCAAACTTTGTTTTTGTCACCGAATCATTGACGTTCATTGCCGGTACGGCTAATATTTGTGTACGACACATTTGATATAAACGATGTACGCCCGTCACACTCTCTTCAACAATGCCTTTGATGGAACTGAATAATGTTGGAAAATGTTTCTGTATATAATGCGTGAGATCACCACCATCATCTAAAATCATGTTTGGTTGCCATCCAACATCGTTACCAATTGCTTTTTTAATACACCACCAGAAATCATCATCTATTTCACCTTTCCACGCAAATATTGGAATGTTAGCTTCGGCTAGTGCAGCCGCGACTTCGTTCTAAAAATGAATAACAATACTGAATGACTGTTTATACAAAGATAATAAAATTAGTTTACTTGTGTTGAAAATATATTGCATGCACACCAACGTACTTGAGCTCCCAAACGCATCAATGTTTCAATTAAGACCTAAATTCTTAACTGTTAGATAAAAATAATATTTAGTTTTGCTATAATTTAACTTACAGCAGTCTGTGCTGTGATATGTGTACATCCAACAATTTTTGCTCCATTCAATGGTTTATCGGCTTCTGCTCTTCTACGTAATGCCATTAGTCCAGGCATTTCTAAATGTATAAAATAAAGGTTCACTTTAATATTTTAAAATTTCAAAATGTTCTTTAAAATACCTTGTTCAGCTATTTCTATCTCACGTCTTCCATACGTGGCATATTTAATTCGTCGTACAGCAAAATCCGTGAATCCAGATGAATTTCTCTAAAATTAAAAAATTAAAATTTCATAATTTAATACAATGAAATAAGAAAATGATAACTTACATGTTCAATTTCTCGAAGATTTTGTCCACCCTCATCTTCACTGTCACTATCGCTAGCTGTAGCTAGAATATAAGACGAAATATTTGTATTAATTTCTCATAATATCTTGTCACTAAGAGAATAATATTTGAAAATTGCATTATCATGTCAAACTTGTGAAATTAATTACATGCCTATTTTCAATTAATAGCAATTTGAAAGAAAGGGACATTTTATATAAACTCTTTAATCTACCGTGTAATTCAAATATATACGATAGAATGGTCTTTGATATCAACAGGCTTTTAATTTATGGGCATAATATTATAAAGATACAAATTATAAATCTGCCTACAGGCGAATATATGAAAAATTTCCGCATGGTCAATAAATACACAACTGATTATTTTTATCCTTGAATTGCAAAGAAGTCTGAATTAAAAAAAAGAAAGAAAAGAGCGAAGCGTAAAAGAATAACAATTGACTCTATGGTAATTAATATTATTTTAGAAGAAATTTCTGCTAATGAACAATAATAAAAAGAAGAAATATTTTTATCATTGAAACCGAGTTAAAATAACGATACATCATCAAAGAACGTAATAGTTATTTGTGACAATTTCATTCCACCTCGTGAAATTATTTTTAAAAAGACTCTATGTTCAACTTTTTTTTACATTTCTGCTTCTTATCTGTAAATTCTCTCTATGTGAATCAATGATTGATTGTGATCATTTTATCCTATAGATAATCCTATAGATCCCGTGAACTTCATCAAACAAATATGAAAAGAAAATATACGACTAATAAATCATTAACTTCATGTAGTTGAGATGGAATACGTGTAAAATATTTGTGTTGTTGACGAGATATTATATTTTTTGTTTTATTTTAATTTTACTTACAAATCGATTCAACAATAGATAAACGTCGTTGTATATCTGTTTCAACACTCTGTCCCGATGATCGTCGTCTGTTATATTCATGTATAATATGTTTATCGATAAATTGAACAGATGGACGTCTATCTCGTCTATAACGATCTTTTGAATTTTCTTCTTCTGCCAAAAATTTTTGAATCATATTCTTCTTGTTATTATTATTATTATTATTATTATTGCTAATATTTATCATTGTCAATAATGATTTCAATAGATCTAATGTGAGAGGATGATTTGATGATGAAGATACTTCACATGCATGGAATAACAATGAAAAACGGCAGTTAACGTGCGGTTGACTGCCACTAAGCGTACAGAAAAAAAGAAATGTGACGCCCTATTTAAAACATACTTTGGAATAAAAAAAAATTGAAAACAGACTGAGATATCTCTTCGTTTCTCTATAAATATGTGTTATTTAAGATCTATTAAATTAGAATGAAGTGAAGAGGAGAAAAAAAAAACCGATAAAGAAATTAATGATTGTGAAAAGAGAAATAGAGTGAGAGTGAGCGAACGAACAATACTTGAATAATAATAATTAGACAAATCAAATGACAAATGAGTGTCATTGGTAGTCATGATATTAAAAAATTGAGATCAAACCTGTATTTCATCTTAGATAACGATTATTATAAAAAAAACATAAATTTTTTTCTCTTTGTCGTTGTATGTTATAGTTAAGAAGATTAAATAAAAGACTAGTTCGACCGAGATATTTATATATATAGAAAACTGCAATTTTTTATATTAATTCTATTAAGAAAAATAAGCAAAAAGGATATATATATTTTATTTCTTGTACTTTATAGTTGATTACACACTATGCTAAACCATGTAAGTTTACTGCGTATTGTTTGGCAGCATGGCTTGATGGTTATATTGTTTGTTTGTTTGTTTTTATTTCGACAAGAGCAATTTTGAAAAAAAAAGAGTAAACTTTAGTACTATAAAAATTGCCACCTTTTATCCTATTTTTTTTTTTCCCTTTTCACAGTTGTAAGTGCTGCCTCAGTTTGGTTTTGAAAGATTTTATTGTTGGCGAGATAACTACAGTGTTGGGGAGAGAGTTCCAATCGCGAGTTGTCCTATACAAAAAAGATTGTAGAACAGTGTCAGTGCGCGCAAACGGATATATTGTTCGTCATGTACTATGTTCGAAACTTGCGCTAGCAAAATTTTGTAATAATCTTGGACAAGTTATATCTTAGTACCTCCGATCATTCGTTTAACAGCATACTCACTACGTTGCGACGTATATTACAGCTTCTCCGATCAGTCCTCATGACTTTTCAGAAATCTAGTACGTGGTTAATAAAGTATGGAGAGGGAAACTCAAGTAATTGCGCGCAAGAACTCTGCGTCAGGCTAGTCTTCTAGTCAGAGCTGCAATTGATAACTAGTAACGAGATGGATGACCATTTTTGTCAGCTACAGGGAAGATATTGGGCTATTGAAACTGCAACGGTAGCCGTAAGGCGGGATATTCTTCCTGTCTACTGCTTGTTCTAGGGCACAGATGATTAGACCCACTAGATTCTGCATAGTGGACACTGATGCAAACATTTGACAAAAAATCGAAGGTACAATTTTTTAATATTCAAGTTGGATAAAATAAAATTTGATATTTGACCTATTTATGGTCGCAAAAAGTTTAGTTTCATTCGACGAATAAAGGAAAAATCGTATCTATTATTTATACAGATATAATATTAAAAAAAAACTGATCATTTTGATGTCAATATTATAGAAAAAAAACCTTCTGACTTATAAATAATAAATGTATCATAAACCCACGATTCACATGTTTCCTCTCTATTTCCTCCTTCATACCTTTCCCAGAATGTTCATCTATGTCTATTGTATTGAGGACAGATGTAAACAGATGCGACTAAGACAATAAATCTTATAAAATTCCAAACTTTTTCACGTAAAATACTTTTTATAACTTCAGAAGTATTTTCAATCAAAACAAATAATATATTCGGAATCAAATCACCCTCCATCGAATGATGTATCACATAAAAAATTTAACGAAAAACAGTTTCAAAGTCAAAAATCAGGTAAAAGTTTCACAATCAATTTTGACCGAAGATTTTTTTTATTAGACCGTTACCTTTTTGTTGAAATAGACATTGTGATGTAGGGATGAGTCAAACTAGACTCAAAGATAATACTTTTTTTACAAAAAAAACATCAAATGTTCGCACAACTGCAGGAATTGCTCAATAAATCTAAACAAGGCACATTTTCATAGAGAAATAATTCAGTTTGATTGATTTCTCCATGAAAAGTCCACTCAGTTAATAACAATGCCTACCAGCAAATTTAGATCCACTGCGAGCTCCTGTTTTGCTTTCAAATGTATTTTAGTTTTTTCTGTACTAGGGATTTACTGTCTGGAGGTTTAATGTGGTACAATCGAAGATGGCTCGAAGAGTGCTTCGACTTTTACTTCATAGATTCAGTTTTTCAAATCTGGTAACCAGTTTCTATACGGAGAATACAAACTAGAGTTGAAACCGAACTGATACACCGTCGATTGATATACCGATCCGGTATTAATATACTCATTATACCGGCCGGTATACGTCGGTATTTTACCGGTAAGAAAAATGATTTTTTACGCATATTCAGCATAACTTCTTTCTGAAAAGTATTAAATTATAAGAAGACATTCTTTATTTTATTGGTTGACAATCAAAAAACGTATCGAACTAGTGTAACCATGCTTTTGGTTGTAGATTTGTAACGTAACGTTCTACTAAATATGATCAATTCCGATGCAGTAAATGCGAGAGAAATGAAAAACCAAAAACATCTTCGTTGTATGACCGGCACTATGCGCCGAAAGGGACCAATACTGTTTCACAGCGAGAGAGGCTAACCGTCTTATAGCCTCAAATTTCTATCCATTTTTCTTCATTTTTTAGACATTTTTTAACGCCGGTTTCTTGATTTTTCACCGGTTTTCAAAAAGTTTATACCGGTCAGCTTGCTGGTGAATCAGTATAACTTTCCATACTAGTTCCAACCTGATGCAGACGACAAATCTTATATGATGTTTGTTGCTCATTATTTGACAGTGAGATACGCAAATAATAAAAACAGAATTAAATACAAAAGAGTAATCTAGACGGAGTTTTTTTTGAAAAATGAGCCTGTTTGTAGTAACAATTTATTTCGACTCTAATTCTTTCATTATTCAAGAAGCTGTTTACAAGTTTTCTACGTTTGAAAGATGATGCTACAGCATCGTATTGAGATTCAATTAAATATTGTGTACAAAGACAAAAATAAAAAACGTTCTTCTCTATTTTCCACGGCGTGCATACACACTAACAGTCTACTCTTCTTTTATAGGCATGTACACATGTATAGAGCAGTACATTACAATATGAAGAAAAATATACTGATAAATAGCGAAAAAAAGCAGAGATTATTTGGCAAAAGCAAATGAAGGTCATCGCCCAAAGGCAGAGTATCGATATTCTCCCTGGTGATAAAATGATCGAACTCTGGTTTGAGTCAGATATGGGTCGTTTTCAGTTCTGTATTTATTATTGAATATAGTACATAGTACCGACACGCTTATGCTACACTAGAAAAAAATCTGTTATGAAAGCTCTTAGGTGTTGATCGTACACTATTCCTCTATTATTTGACCACTCTATACTTTTCTGTGTTAATGACAAAAATCCATTCTCGAAGAGACAACTTACATTCATTTAGTACATCTGACCCATCAGTTGATGTTGTTGAACTTTGCCGTTTAACATCTTGCAGAAAACGTTTGTCAAGAAACTGTACACTGGACCGTCGTCGTGTTCGATATTGATCAGCACAACTATCAGCTCGTCGAAATGATGTTAAATACGGTGCAACGCTATCATCTTTTTCGTTATCCTCTGCTCCCGTTGAAAATTCAATATGTCTATCATGTGGATGACTGTTATCATTATGTTCATTTCTCGTGTTACTATGTTCATTCAATTCGTGTGATTGAGACTGAGTATGAGAATGAGTGTCATAGCCACCACCACTATTGGATAATGCATCACTTGTTTTCCGTGAAAATATTCGTTTAAAGGCCATAGTCAAAATTATAAAATTATATATTATATACACAAAACATAATTTAATGAAAACAAAAGAAAATTCTACTTCGTTACAACAATTCTGTTATATACACACACACACATACAACAAGATATTATTGGTATATGTAACTAGTTTCTTCGTCTTCGTTCTTTTTATTTCTTCTACCGTAATCAGTAGTCAATTTCATTCTCTGCTACAACACCAGTAACAGTAAAAAAAGAAAAAGAAGCAGAAAATGGAGGGTGAAGGGAGTAACATGATTATTACTATCATGATTATTATAACAGAGAGAAATAATTTGGTGACGCGCATTGACTGAGGAAGTATCTTTATTTCTATTGCTGATACTGTTGTTTTTTCTGACAGTAAAATAGAATAAGAAACGACGAGGGGGAGAAAATAGTTAGAGCGTATAGATTTTTTAACAATATGGCAATCTATATTATACTAGAATTCACTAACGACATGATTCTCATTTATACATACAACAAAATGGTGTCTTGAGAGTTAACATGAGCAAAAATAGGATAATATAGAAATATATCCACTCCTTTTTGAAAATTAATATCTATAGGTAGGTGAATTATCTCAACCTAAAATGATGTGAACCAGCAGAGAGATAAAAATTTCGAGATCAATCCAATAGTAAATGGAATTACTGTAGAATAAACATCGTATTTTCCTTCTGAATGATTTTATCTGAACTCAGAATTTATTCAATTTATGTACTCGGTTTACTTGAAAGAAAATGTTTGTCTTAGAAACTTAACACCATCTTCAAAAATTCCGTTCTCTATTTTGAGTAGCAAGTGTATTAACCATAACGTATGTTGTTCTACTCTTTCTTTTTTTTTTTGTCATTCAAATGTCACTCAGTATAAAAATAAATTAATATATTTTATATAAACAGCATAAGTTGATGGCACTAGTAATATCTTATTTGTTTTCTCATTACATCTACGTATATCTTGAAGAAAATCTCGGTTTTCATTATTTTTGAGAAATACATTATATCTGAGAATAACAAAGACTTGAGAATAATCGTGCTACGTACATACTTCAAAGTCTACCACATTAGTTTATTATGCAATTTTTCTAATCAAGAAAGTTTTGTTTCTCTATTTTGTATTAGTAAATAAAGTATTTAAGATATATGTACGAATGTATAATGATGTCGAATATGAGTACTGTCTAAAACGCTAACAGCGACATCATTGACATATGTTAGAATGAATATGTCTATACATCATTATTTTTATTTACAATATCTTAAACAATTTATTTTATTGACAGAAACATATGCAGAGAATTTTTTCTTTTCACTATATGTCCATCTAACTCTTGTTGTCCTCATACAAAATAAGATTATTCATTCAAAGTTTATTTTATAAAATATCTAAACTTCAGTCTTACAGCTCGATAAATTCAATTCCATCAGTTAGTTTAACTCATTCACTTACACTAGTATATCATCAGATGTGGGAAAAATTCTTTTTTTCCAGAGTCTCCAAAGTCAAGGACGAATTGATTTTCAGATTTAGTACAATCAACAACAACGCCGATTTATAGTTTTTATTTGATATAAGTGATAAAAGTCAAGGAAAATTTCTAGATAAACACTTTTGTAATGTAATTTCTTTTTTGTAAATCTTTCAGGAAAAAACTGAAATGTACCTCACATTACTGTCAAATCGGATGATGTTAATACCGTAAAATAATTTTCTTCTTATATAACTAAAAGAATTATGACAAAGAATCTAGATAATACTTTATAATAACGTAAGCGAAAAAAAAAGACGTCAAAAACGCCAGTATGTTGTTATTCATATTGTCGCGTTTTCAATATGATGAAAGCAACTTTCTAACTGATAAATGCTCTATCATTCTACTATATTAGAAGACTACAATAAAATGTTTTTAAACTTACATTCATTCACTACACTCTCTTCAACATCGTCAACATCATGATGAGTATCGTGGGTAGGAGGAAATTCGTGTGTTTCATGTCCTTGATTGAATGATAGGTCATGTATGGCTCCTTTCGAAAATCGTCGTTCAATTATTTTTGAATTAGGCCGTGAGTGATGTTTATAGGCATTTTCATCAGGATGATGAAAATGTATTTTTACTGGCTGTTCTAATTGTTTACGTTTTGATAATTTTTCATGTATAATTGTTGAATCCACGATATAACCGGACGATGTATCATTTCCTCCACCGATATTATTTAATGTTGTAGAATAAATGCCAGGTTTTAATGATTTTGATGCAACAACATCATTAGCGTTGTTTGTATGACGAATGGGCACAAGTGAAAATGCATTTTGCACAGATTTTACATTACGATGCATTAGACAAACTTCTCACTCAATACTTTTACACAATCAAAACGCAAATGTATATCGGCTTTTCGTACACAAAGTGATTATTAAAACACGAAATCATGACATTTCTACCCTTTTTTATCGTGTTATACAATAAAAGATTTTTATGTTGAAACAATGAAGTATTTCAGTGATGCATAACTAGTGGCATTAACACATTCGATGTTTTATAACTTTATGAAGAGGAATATATTAGTAAATTGTGTTGAAGGTAAACTTACAAGTTGATGATATTCTTATATATGGTTTTAACAATCTGTTCATCAAATTATCAAACGTTGAACATCGTTCAAACATATTTCTTACTCAACACAAATCGATCAGTAGAGAAACCATTTATCCCGCTATTGTTAAAATTAGACTTGCGACACGCTGTCTTCCATTGTTCTATGTGTGTTGAATAATTTTGTATATAATCAATTGTCTAATCCGAAATCCTTTTCAACATCAAGGTTTTATCGATTAGCGATAATAGAAATCCCATCTATTCTGATAAAATGTTCATGAAACAAATTGAGAAAAAACTCACGTTTTATACACATGTTCGAGGGTTAGGGTACCATCGCAAGTCTTAATGTTGTTAACGTGTCAGTCAAAAATATATTACGCTCTATTGTTAGAAAAACGAGATTATCAATGCTCTTTGCAATAGTTTACATTCTCATTGCCTCAACAAGCCGATTTGTTTGAGAAAAAAAGAAATTAAACTATTACCTGAAAGAAATGCGGTAAACACATTCTTTTCGTTTCTGCCACTGCAGATGTCGCTAGTAACTGACCATTAGGTCTTTTTATATAATGATTAACATATGAAAGAAATTTTACGAAACAAAGTACACGCATAATGAGTTAATTATTCTTCTAGAACCTCGAGTTTATCCATTTTCATTCAAACGTCAAGTAAAAACAACTCGAGTATATTTTGCAACAACTATATCGTCAGAGAATACTATAGAAGAACAATTCAAAAAAAGATAACAAATCGAGAAGAAACTGAAAACAATTGATTGGAATCATCTTTTCTTCTCGTAGAAAAACTTTATCGATGAAAAGTAAATATTTACTGACATGAAACAGTTACTGTTGAAGTTATCTTTGGTATAGATTCTAGACATCGACTAGTTCAATAAAATTTGTATTTCTCTCGTAGTGCCTGTAGCCAGGTGTCGGTTAAACTGTCTTTTCTGACAAATTAGAAACTTTTTATAGCTTTTAATCCCATGAGGACTGACAATTTTGCGAGTTTTATTCCACAGATGTACATTTATATATGATTTAAATTAACGCAATTGATTCAGTCATGCATCTTCAACTGGTTAACTTTACTGTGTATGATTGTCTGAGGTTATTTTTTTTTTAACAAAATTTGTAAAAAATAATTCTAGAGTATCGTTGTTTCTTCGTTATTTTTATTTAAAATAAATAAGAAAGATTGTGTTCCACTTGTGTGCCACTCCGCAGTCAACTTTCGCGGTTCATTCTTAGCGCGATCGCGCTTGTGCCTTAAAGTCCCGGCACGACTTAATCATGTCTTAGAATCACACAGCGATCGCAATCCGATTTTATAATGAGTCTCTATACGAGTGGCACACTTGAAAATTAAAAAATTTAAAACCTCACGCTATGACTCGCTATGAGAGACACTATATGACACGTATATATAGGCCTTTGAGTGAAGAATGTCATGAGACGCGGTCAACCCGTTGTCACGCTTTCTGGCCCGCTCGGACAAGATTGCCCGTTTCGGCAAGATGTATGGCCCGAATAGACAATATGACCGCTTGAGCAAGAAGTATCTTACCCGCTTTGACAAGATTTCCATACTTTTTCTTTTAACGGATTAGCGCATGTAGACACTTGTTCCACATGATAGAGCGGTAAAAACTGCATCAAATAGAGTTTTCCTTGGATGATATGGTGCTTCTTGCACAGTCAGAAAACTGACCAACTATATCTGTCTCAGGATTACCTTTCCGAATCGGACAAACTTGCCCGTTCGAGCAATATTTCCCGATCAGGTAAGGACAAAAGATTGCCTCATCGGGCAAGGTAAACTGCACACAATTGAGCTACGTTTGTTATTCGTTTCTGTCATAAAAGAGAAAGAAGGTTAACTTTAATATACGGTGAATAACCAGTGTACGAAGGTTAGAATGAACACTTCCCTCCCATTAAACGACTGATGATTCTCGAGATCAGATCTTGCTAGATCGGGTAAATGACAAAGGACTGACTGTTTGTGTCATTCAAACATAGCTCAGAAATTGATAGAAACTCGAAAAGTTACTACCCCTCCTTTCAAAAAAGTTTATGTTTTGTGCCTTTCGTTCTCCAAGAAAACATCTTTTTTGGAAGAATGAAAACATTTTTTCGGCAGGACCAACCCCCCTCCCCCTGCTCTGAGATGCTAGTACGCCCTTGAGAAAACTCGAAAGTTTTCTAGAACTCTCAAGTATGTGAGAGTCCCAACAGATTCTCCATGGTCGATTGCCTATCTAGGGACACCTTTTCTCTGATTCTATTAATTTTTGCTACGAAATATTGTCCTAGGATAATTTTTTCGTTGTATTTTATGTTACATCGTGAAGTGGCACCCTCTATTAAATCTATTATTAAATTAATATTCTGGATAAAACGTTGAAAAGTAGCGACCGCTATACATTTAATTTTCTGACTTTGTGTGAGTCGTCTTCGTCGTAACTGCACTAACCTTAAGTTAACCTTCTGAAAAAAAAAATCAGGAATAGGAGGTAAAAGGACTATTTGTCTGATCTTTGAGTTATACTGCTTTTTATATTTGAGTAAATGAATAAGAATGGTCTTACCTGAAGGCGCCTCAAATAACAAGAAATTAACCTCATGCAGTAACACGCATATTTTCTTTCCTTCTTTTGTATCTCTTTTGACGAAGTAAAATTCAAGATTTTGCAATGTTTGTCGTGCTAACAGTAGAGATGGATATTACCGACGGTAAAGGTGCAAAAACAATGTTTTATGATAACGGTAACAAAACGCCGTGTTGCTGCCCATGTCTGGCTAACAGCAGATAGATGTGTGCAGAAAACATGTAAGGAAAGAAGATGGGCCATTAAAAGCGAGTCTTAGCGCGATCGCGTTAAGACATTTTATCGTAACTGGTACAAGAACGTTGACTTGGCCTTTCTGCGTCTTGTTGATCAAAGTTGATTGCTTTCTTTTTCTCATTCCGATTGATAATAATACTGTGATAGTGATAATAATTAAGTAATAAAAATGAATTGCGATGATGATAAGGGGGAATAATAAGACTGATAAGAAAAACCACAATTACATTAAAATAAAAGAATTCTTTCAAGCGACAACTTCAACAATAAAAGCTCAAGAGTTCAAAAACTGATAGATATCAATATCAAAAATGAATTTCATTTGTCCGATATACGAAACTAGCTTTGAGATCCTTAGATAGTTCAAAACAAGATTGTGAGCTTTTAAAGAACTGAAAACGGGTCATGCATATTTTATAGATGCAATAAAAAAATATCACTTTTCTTTGTTTTTTCAGTTCTCTAAAAGCTTGAACAACTAGTTTTTTTTACCGTGTATATGCATCCAAATATTGTTAAAACCATTTCCAATTACAGTAATACTATCGGAACTAGTTCGAGTTCCTTCTGGGATGGAATATTGCATCTGAACGAGTAATAAAGAGTGGGCATCACTGGAATACGTTCAGCTGTATACAAATACAATCCGTAACGTCACGATTGTTATTATTAATTTCTAGAAAGTTCGAACCAATTTAAAGCGATTGGAGGTACGCTCGTAGGATGGGCGCGGGCGCGGGGGGGGGGGGGGGGGGGGGGGCGGGGGAGGGGGGGGGGGGGGGGGGGGGGGCGGGGGGTGGAGAGGAGGGGGTGGGGGGGGGGGGGGGGGGGGGGGGGGGGGGGGGGGGGGGGGGGGGGGGGGGGGGGGGGGGGGGGGGGG